ACAAATGAGGAAATTGAGGCAAACAGAGTTAAGTTATTTGCCCAAGGTCACACAGCTAGTATCTAAAGTCAGATTTGAACTCAAGTCTTCCTGACTTCAGGTCTGGTGCTTTCCTGGTGGTGCACTGTACCACCTAGCTGCCCCCCTTTAAAGTGTATATCACATATATTACCATGTTTTAATCCTCACAACCACCCTATGAAGGAAACGCTACAGGCACAATTATCCCCATTCTTCAGGTTGGGAAACTGAAGCTTGGAAAGTTTAAGTGCCTTGCCTAAAGTTACCCAGTTATTAAAGGGTCAGATCTGGGTCTCAAACCCAGTCCTTCTGGCTCCAAGTTTGGTGGGCTTTCTACTCCCCCATAACCACCACATAGGTTCCACGGAACTTAATGAGGACAGAGGCTGTAACAGGAGCTCTCTAGCTGAAGGAAATTTGGTTTCATAATGGTTGGCAACAGGGCAAAGGTGAGGAAAGGCAGATGGATGGCCAGAATGCCCTCCTGATCTGGGAGGGTGGCCTGGGGTGGCCATACACCAGGAGGCTTGAAAGTTCCAAGTCCATGGGACACCTTAAAATCTCCTTTTTGTCTAGCTGTAACAACTTCTGCTTCCCCAGGACAAAATGCTTGCCATCTGTGCCCCAAACCTTGGTGGTCATTGGCCTCCTCTTGGCTGCTGTGATTTTTGATTGTACAACTGCCTCTCGTTCTGGCACTAACTCCTGACTCTGGCCCTATAGCCTATTGACTGACTTGTCTATTCCATTCTAAGCTGTGGCTGGATAACAGTGAGCTCCTAATCTCCACGAAAAGAGGAATTTCTCCTTTGCCTAATTGTCCCAAACCCCAAATTAAGGAGAATTTAATCAGCATCATAGATGATACATTTTCAGCCTTTTGCAAGCTGTGACTTTGGGCTCTGCCCACTGGCAAGGCTGGATGGGAAAGTATATATCCTATGCCTTTAGTTTATACATTGCACCACTAATGCTTTCAAATGAATAGTTTATCAGATTAGCTAGCCAGAAAGGCTCTGAAGGAATGGAAAATAGGACAAACAAGTTTTACCATGCTTGTTGACTGACTAGGTGATTGACAGAGGAAAAGGACCAGAGCATGAGACACTTGGCTTATAAAGGATTTGCCTGAGAGAAGTATTATAGTAGCAGAATATGAAAACATTCAATTAAATTCATTTGGATTGAATGAGCATATAGAAAACATCTACTATGTGCCAGGCACTGAACTATAATGATTGCTAGCATTTTTATATAGCACCTACTATGTGCAAGGCACTGTGCTGAGGGCTTTATAATTATTCTCTTATTTGAGCCTCACAACAACCCGGGCAAGTAAGTGCTACTATTGACCCATTTTACAGATTAGGAAACTGAGGCAAACAGAGGTTAAGGTAGCTTGCCCAGAATCACACAGCTAGAAGTGCCTGATTTGAACTCAGGTCTCCTTGACTCCAGACCTGGTACTCTATCCATTGCATTACCTAGCTACTTCAAGATTCAAGAGAGAACTGGGACATTCTAAATGGGGGGACAGGATGTGCTTAAACAGACATTAAGGACTTTCAAAAAGGTGGGGGATCTAAAAACAGATGCTTTCTGTTCCACTGTTTTGCATCTGGTATATCTTTAAAGAAATATACAGGATTTTAGGAAGTGCTGAACCCAGGGCTTTAGTCTCCCTTCTGCCTGACAGTAGTTCCTCCCTGGCAGTTAATTGGTCACTTCCGGAGGCAGCTACTCCCAATGGTACTCCAGGTGACTTGAAGAGTTAAGGCCCATCCCTACCTTGCTTAGGTACTAAGTAGAAACTGACTCAGTTTTTCTCAGTTTAAACACCGACAGGACAGAGGAGCTGTCTGTAGATTCCATGACCCCTTAAAGCCCCTCCCAGCCATAAGATGTTTTGCCTCAGTCTGAAATTACAATGTGCCTTCAAACAGGCATGAGGGAGTGTTAGAACATAAACCCCAGTCCTCTGTGAAAGTCCCTTTGGCCATCCTGAGCACTTGTAAGCCTAATGAGAGTCATCGCTTTAGCAGATGAATGACTTTTCTTCTCATGTGTAACAGATACAAACATTTCATAAAAGGAAGATGAAGAAAACCATCATAGTGCTGAGTAGTCATTAGTACTTAGGAAGTAAGTGTTGTTCCTTGGTTATTAGAGAACTTCAATTTAACACTTTCAGCCCAGTAGCACCTTCCTTAATTAGATAGCAAGTGATCCCATTATTTTAATGATATGTTTTCCAATTAAACATGTAAAGACAGTTTTAACGTTCATTTTAAAAAATTTTTTGAGTTCAAAATGTTCTCCCTCTCTCTCTCACCTTCCCACTCCCTGAGATGGTAAGCAATTTTATATAGGTTATATATGTGCAATCATGCAAAACATATTTCCATTTTAGTCTTGCTGCAAAAGAAGAAATCTACCAAAAGAAAAAAAAACTAAGAAAATAAAGAAAATGAAAAATAGCATGCTTTGATCTATATTCAGAATCCATCAGTTCTTTCTCTGTATGTGGATAACATTTTTCATCATGAGTCCTTCAGAATTGTCTTAGATCATTGTATTGCTGAGAAGATCTAAGTCTATCAAAGTTGGTCTTCACACAATATTGCTGTTACTGTGTACGATATTCTCCTGGTTTGGCTCACTTCACTTTGCGTAAATTTGTGTAAGTCATTTCATGTGTTTCTGAAATCAGCCTACTCATCATTTTTCTTATAAAATGCTCCCATTATGAAAAGATTTGATTGTAGTCAACAAATACAATATTTTATATAAATACACTGGGAAAATAAACTAGATACTTCAAAAACACTAACTTACCCAACATTTATTAAGTCTCTGCTATGTACAAAACATGTTACTAGATGTTGCGGATACAAAGAGAAAAAACAACAAAATAGTCCTTGCCCTCTTCATAAATTTAGTTCTTCTCAACAATATAATGATCTAAGACAATTCCAAAAGACTCATGATGGAAAATGCTATCCACATCCAGAGAAAGAACTATGGAGTCTGAATGCAGATCGAAGCATACTATTTTCTCTCTCTCTTTTTTTTTTCTTTCTCATGGTTTTTCCCTTTTCTCCTGATTCTTCTTTGACAACATGACTAATGTGGAAATATGTTTAATATGATTGTACATGTATAGCTTATATCAGATTGCATGCCATCTTGGGGAGAGGGAAGGGGGGAGGGGGAAATTTTTGAACTCACAATCTTATGAAAGTGAACATTGAAAACTAAAAATAAATAGATGAATTTTTAAAAATAATCCTTGCCCTCAAGAAACTTAGATTCTACTGGAGAGATCTGAAATATATGCAGATAAGTACAAAGAAGTACATTTAGATAGAGAGATGATAAGACAAAGTAATTTCAAGAGGGAGAAAGCATTAATGATGTTCCCATCACTGCCATGAGTCCCGGTAAGAGACTCATGAAAGACTGGACATAACAGGTGGCACTTGATCTGTACTTCAGAGGAAGCTAGTCATTCTACAAAGTCAAAGTGAGGAGGGAGCACATTCTGGACATTTCTGTGCAAAGAGCACAGAGGGATGATATAGAAGATGCTGTAAGTTCCCTAAAAATATTCAATTTCATCGGAAGTCTGGTTCTACTCAGTTATGAGCATCACATTTTGAGTAAGATTATATGGAGCTCACAATTACTAACTATGCCCCTGAATTTTACCCGATTTACAACGGATGAATTGCTCCTAAGTGAGAGACATCATCAAGGCCTAACTAGTCTCAGCTGTCCTACCTAGTAAACCTTTCTTCTTAATACTTCCACAGGTAAACATATCATAGGATGGTAGATTCAGCAGAAGAAGAAATCCTAGAAACCATCTACTAAATCTTCTTATTTTACAGATGTGTAAAGAGGAGAGAGGAGAGAGTATCAGTTACATCATCATCATCATCATCATCCTAGCTAGCATGTGTATTTACATGTGTGTTTGAATTTTATATACACACACATATATGTTTATGTACATATAGTGTGTTAAGGTTTCAAAGTGTTTTACAAATATTATCTCGTTTAATTTTCACAATAACCCTGGAAGTAGATGCTATTATTGTCCCAATTTTGTAGATGAGAAAACTGAGGCAGGCAGAGGTTAAGTGATTTTCCTAGGGTCATATAGTTAGTAAGTATCTGAGGCGAGATTCAAATTCAGATCTTCCTAACTCCAGGTCTAATGTTCTAAACACTGCATCATCTTGCCACCAATCAAGTTTCTTGACCAAGGTCACTCAGATGACAGATGTCACATTTGAACTCAGATCCTGATTCCAAATCCAGCATTTTTATGCTATATCACATACAGAACCTCAGAGCTGGAAAGGACTTTAGAGGTTCTCTATAATGACCTCAGTATCCCTGAAAAGGGGTCCTCCAGTTTTTGCTTGACGGTGTCCAGTGATGTCAAAGACACCACCTCCCAGCTCTTACTCTTCTTGTTCCCTATGTGAATTTGGACAAGCTTCTAATTCCTCCCGTTCTTTCAGTTTCCTCATCTGTAAGATGACAGAGTAAGTTTAGATGATTTCCAATGACTCTTCTGGCCCTAGATTCCACAATTTTATGATACTGAGACAACTCATTCCACTTCTGGTTGCCTCTAATTGTTAGGAAGTTTTCTTTATATGAAATGAAATGAAATCTATTTCACTAAATGCCTTTGCTGTGAACTAATCATAACTTCTGGCTGGCTAATAAAAGTAAATATATCTTTGGGGATTCCTAAGTGATGGGTTTTGAGCAGATGCCCACAGAGGAGCCTGAACTTTGGGTAATAATAATAATAGCTAACATTTATATAATGCTTACTATGCGCAAGGCACTGCGCTAAATGTTTTATAATTATCATGTCATTTGATCCTCACAACAACCCTGTGAAGTAGATGCTATTATTATCCCCATTTTACAGTGGAGGAAACTGAGGTTAAGTGACTTACCCAGGATCACGTGGCTGAGGGTATCTGAAGGTGGATGTAAACTCAGGTCTTCCTCACTCCAGACCACTGTACTGCCTAGCTGCTCCTGAAGGATTTGGGTTCCACAAGCTGAGTTGAGTTGGGTTCCCCAGATGGCTACATGTGGAAGAGGAATTTTATTTGTCCTGCTTGGCCCCCAGAGTCTAGAACACAGAGCAATGAATGGGTGAGAGGAATTTGGTCTCCTCAATGCTTGACTTTCTTCCATCGGTAGTCCATCAGCTTCCCTATCCCCATCTGTACCCCATTTAGCTCCCAGTCCCTCACCATCTCGCTGCTGTGGCTTCTTCCAGCTGTTTGCCCTCTTAGAGGCAATGTAGCATAGTGGATAGTGCATTGGACTTAATGTCAGGCCTACTGAGGTTCAAATCCTATCTCTGATATTAGCATTTATGGGAGCCTATGGACAAGTCAATAAGTCACTTTGGGCCTGAGTTTCCCAATCAGCAAAATGATTATAAAGCCTATAGCACCCCCATCACAGGTTTACTTTAAGGTTGGTATAAAATTATAAGGCATATAAAGTGCTCTGCAAACCTTGAGGCAGTATCCAAATGTCATGTATTATACCTTAATTGATGCTGTCAGTTCCCAGGCAGCTGGACCCCTGAGAGATTACAGAAGAAGTATAATCTGTATTATAGCTCTGTCAAAATTAAATAGGCAAGACAAAAATGCCTCAGGGCTATTTGGAAATTTCCAGCTCTTTCAAGGAGGCCCAGACTCTGAATGCCCCTGGACCATTTTGAGGCTTTCTACTCTTCTACCCAAATGCTACAATCCCTTCTTCTGTACAAAGGGACCCACTGGTGCCTCTGAGTCTCTGCCAAGAGTCTCCATTTCCTATGCCTAACTTGAGTTAGAACAAATTGGTCCCATTCATTAGCTCTATTCCCCTGCGTCCAAGCAGCGTGCCTCCTACTGAGTCATTCCGGGTTTGGAAATGTACTCGTGTCCCCTGGCTGTTTGCTTGTCTGCCTTCCATCCTCCTCCTCAGCGTTAGACCACTCCATCCAAATTCCTCAGGAGCTACCCTGCAGTGAGGGAGGACAGTGTGTGTGTGTGTGTGTGTGTGTGTGCTTGCTTGTTGGGGAAACACCTTATTATGATAATTAGCTCATTTTAAGCCTAAGGGGAGATACAATGATCCCTAAGGTTTACTTGGTTCCCTGTTCTTTAGCTATAGGGAATTTATTTTAGATGAAAAGTTCTAACTTGTCATAATTATTCTGAACCCCAAGTTAGGAAAATTTCTAATTCTGAGGCAGGAGTTGGACTGTCTGCCTAATTTCATGTTTATATCTATCTCTAGTCAACCTCTGGTTTCTTGGTGGTTGAGACAATTTCATTCCCTAGAAACATTTGGCTAAGACACAACAAATGATATTATAGTATCTATGAATAATAAGGCATTGGGAGGAGAAATTAAGGAAAGATGAGACTGATTGTTGTTGGGACTTCCCTCAGCTTGGGTTGTTCTTTCCAAGATACCTGTAAAACAAAATACTCTTCTTGAGATCTCCTTTGTGGTCACAGCTCAGTACTTCCTTTGCTCCAACCTATCCAATTCAGTCTCAGAATCTCCTCTCCATCCCCATTCTAAGATAGTTTTTCCCTTTAGACAAATTGTTTAGGTTATGACTTAGTCTCTTATACCACAGCTTTGATTGATTCAAGGACGTATACAGGCCTGGGAGTAGGTGGCACAGTGGATAGGGTGCCACGGCTGGAGTCAGAATAGACCTGAGTTCAAATCCAACCTCAGCTACTTACTAGTTGTGTGACCCTGGGCTAGTCACTTAACCCTATTTACCTCAGTTTTCTCATCTGTAAAATAAGCTGGAGAAGGAAATGGCAAACCATTCTGGTATCTTTGTCAAGAAAACCCCAAAGGAGATCATGAAGAGTCAGAAAAGACTGAAACACTAACAATAATACAAGCCTGGTTCGCACTCTGTTTTGACTGTTTGATTCAATCAAAAAAGGTTCTCACTTTGTCAAGGCACCATAGCCAAGTGGGAGGAGTTTCAATCTCTCTCTCTCTGTCTCTCTCTCTGTCTCTCTCTGTCTCTCTCTCTCTCTCTGTCTCTCTCTCTCTCTGTCTCTCTGTCTCTCTCTCTCTCTCTCAATCTCCTCAATCTCTCTCTCTCCCTTACTCCCCCTCTCTCTTTCACTGTCTCTCTGTCTGTCTGTCTTTCTCTGTCTCTGTGTGTCTCTCCCTTCCAATTTTGAGGTGTAATTCTATTATGCTTTTACTGGTAATCCAAAAATAAAATTGTACTTTAAACCAGCTTCAGCATCTCAAGGGCCCAATCAGTGTGGGGACTCTCTCCACTAAACACAACCCCTCTATACCTCCTTCCTTACCTTCACCTCTTTTAAAATCCTCAGCTTCCTTCAGTACTCAACTCCTCCCTTTTGCAGAAGTTCTGAGTCCTCCAAACCAGCTGTGCCTTCCCTCTAAGGTTAACTAACTTCTATCTATATATTTTTATGTACTTATTTGTTTACATGCTATCTCCCTAATTATTTGTAAGTTCTTTGCCAGAAAGAACCCTTTATGTGTTTTTGCCTTTTTAAAAATTCCTAGCCCTTAGCATAGTATCTGACAAATAGTAGGCACCTAATAAATGATTGTTGATGGTTTGATTATAATGTTTAATAAATGCTTGGAGTGGGGCAAGTAGGCAGTGCAGTGGATAGAGCTTTGGCCTTGGAGTCAGGAGGACCTGCATTCAAATCTGGCCTCAGACACTTGATACTTACTAGCTGTGTGACCCCAGCCAACCCTGGACTGCCTCACCAAAAAGCAAAAAAAAAAAAGAAAAGAAAAAAAGAAAGAAAAAAAAGCTTGGAGAGATTCGCCATCAGAAGGTTGGCCGTTAAAAGATGATACCTTTTGTCCAAAGTAATCCATGAGCATTATCAAAAAATTATCATCTCTTAATAACCAACCTTTCAGGTAACAAACCTCTCCAAACTTAGCTAGGTCTGTCCTTGGCCAACAGACATTCCACCTGTTTCCTGAAATACATTTGAAGGCGTGTCAGAACGGTGGGATGTGCCAGGACCTGTTATACTCTTCTGGCATGGCCTTCAAGAACCCAAGGTTATCATAAGTAGGATTTCAGTGTACATTTGAAACAACATTTTTGCAAAATTCTCTCAGATATTTATCAAATTCCCATTAACTTAATAGGAATAATGTTTAAAAATTCAGACTTCTATTTAAAGTTTGTACCTTCAACACAAAATTCATTCATATGTATTAGATTCATTAGTTTTCTTCCCTTTATTAAATATGCATCCATTATTTTGAGCCTCTGGTTATATATACACAATGAAAGCATACCAATTCAATTAAATCCAACAACTAAGATGTTTCCCAAGCAAAGTTAAACAAGGAAAGCTATAGAAATGTAATAAAGAAACAAAGAACACAATGGTAACTGACATCTGAGAAAAGGCTGACAATTCCAAAATAGAATTAAGCTACATTAACCTATGTGGCAGTAAATGGGTCCGTTTCCAACCCACCATATATACCTCCAATGTTCCTACAAGTCACACCATGCCTTTTGTAAAGAAACATTCATATATTCAGACACTTAGATTATTAGAGGTGGAGGAAACTCTGTTCCTTACCTTCTGGGTGACCTTGAGCACATAGCTGAACCTCTATGGAGGCTAGGTCCTCATCTGTAAAATGTGAGGGCTGGACTAAATAGCCTTTATATTCCCTTGCAGTTGTAACTCTGTGGTCCTATGCCTATCTAACCCATTCATTTTACAGATGAGGAAGTTAACACTCAAAGAGACAAATGTATTTGTCCCAGGACACATGGGAAGTTAAAATAACTAGGTGTATTCAACCTGAGGAAGAGTCTTAGGAAAGACACAACAGTTGCCTTGAAGAATTTGGAGGGCTGTTACCCAGTCCCTGTTCTCCTGTGTTCTGGGTTCTCTCTCCCCTCAAGAGTTGCTCTGGCATCTTCTTTTTTTGAACACCAAGAACTGAGAGACCTTGGCCTTTCCCATGATACCCTGTGACCTTCACACCATGTTAGCACCTTGCTTAAAGTCCAACCATGGAATTCTCATTCCTGCAAACTTTCTGGATGAGCCTACAAAGAGCCTCCCTGACTTACATGGGTTTGTCAGTTGCAAATTGTTCTTAAAAGAACTTCTGAGCAGTAGATACGGTCACATTTTCCAGGCTTCAAAAATAGTTCATATCACGCTCAATTATTCATTGTTGGATTGTCTTCAATGATTGCAAGTTTAAGGACAATAGCATATAAATATTTAGCAGAGCAATGAGAACACAATGGAGTTCATTTCAGAGCCCTGCTGAACAACATGTTCATGTCCCACATGTTCTAAATGATATATTAAATCTACTCAGAAGAGGAGAAATAAGTCAATTATGTATGTCATATGAGCTGATTCCTCTTAGCTAATTCCTTAGCTCATCACAATATTATAATAAGGGCTGACTGATCCATGCAAGGCATTCTCAATAGTAGAACAGGATTGCCCTAGGAAGATAGTATACAGATATGAGCATTGTCCCAAAATATTGCTTGAGTACATACAATGCTCAAGGTACTGTGTTATGAGTTGAGGATGCAAAGAGATTTGACCCAGTCTTTGCCCCTGAGGAGCTTATAAGGCAGTTAGGGGGATATTTACGTAAAAAGATAAAAAGGTGGGGTATGATTTTGGGGGAAATGGCAGCCTGTTTTGTTTGCAGGAGTTGGTGCTTTTTCTCCCTGCAGCTGCCTCCATGGGACTAAGATAGCTGAGTAGTTTTAGCTTTAGCTTTATCCAGTCCATTGGGTAATTCCCTTGGAGCTGCCTGGTACTGTGGGGGCAGAGATACAAATTAAATAAATATATATATAAATATGTAAATATAATATATAAAATTTATACTAAATATAAATATAATATGTATAAATATATGTGTATATCTGTGTGTGTGTATATATATATAGCTGATGCTGTTGGTGGTAAGGAAACATAGGTGCGTGCCATTGGGTGAAGCTAAAGCACAGTGGATCTTCTGTTTCTACAATCCATGCTGTCTTTGGGAAAGAGTGGCAGACTTTTCTGAGTGCCTGTATCACGTCACTGGACACTG